GGACTCATCTTGTTGTGTTTCAAATAATTATGATGATAATAATAATAATCCAGAGCAGAAGAGAAAACTGGCGAAAGAAGGCTCTCCATGGAAAGTTCCTGGGAAAAACTGAGAGCCAAAGTGACAAGGAAAAACATGGCTGTGGCTCGAAATTGGGACTTTGAAAAAGAATACAAAGGAGGGCCTGATTCTGGCAGCCCAAGAACAAGCCATTTGAACCAATGCCATCAAAGCCAGAATTGAAAAGTCGACAACAGATCCCAAATGTAGACTGCAAGGAAGCAAATGAAACAATAGATCGCATCCTCAGCTGCTGCAAGAAGATCGCGCAGACAGACTACAAGCAGAGGCACAACACCGTTGCTCAAATGATTAATTGGAACTTGTGCTACAAATACCATCTGCCTGCGACAACTGGTGGGATCACAAGCCAGAAAAAGTTACAGAGAATGAACACGTCAAGCTACTCTGGGACTTCCGGAATCAGACAGACAGAGTTTTGGAGCATACGATCGTGTTAAAAAACAAAGTATGGATTGCCGATGTTGCAATCCCAGGTGACAGCAGGATTGAAGAGAAACAACTGGAAAAGCTGACACGATATGAGGATTTAAAGATCGAACTGCAAAGAGTCTTGCACAAGCCGGTAAAGGTGGTCCCAGTGGTGATCGACACACTGGGTGCAGTGCCTCAAGACCTTGGCCTGCACTTAAACACAATCAGTACTGACAAAATCACCAACTGCCAGCAGCAAAAGGCCACCCTGCTTGGATCTGCACACATTATTCTCCGATACATCACACAGTCTTAGACACTTGAGAAGGGTCCAACATGTGATCAAATGCAGAAGCCGGCTTCATGATCTTGTTTGCAGTGTACTAATCCTGTTATATATAAATAATAATAAATACGTAGCCACTTTGAGTCTCCTTTGTGGAGAGAAAAAGTGGTGTACAAATAAAGATCATGCTTTTCTAAAACGTTATGATCTCCAAAAGGTGTTTTCCCCCAAAAGGTTATGAATGGCAATTTCCAAAAACTACAGTTTAATATCTACAAATATACAAAAATTTAAAAGAGAATTAAATATATTGATTTTTTACAATTTAGGAATCTCTAGTTCCTTCAGTGGCATTCTGTGATCATTATCCAGCTGAAGTAGGACTACAGAGCCATGGATACAATATATATAACTGGGATGTTATATGTTGCTTTTAATTGGTTTAAATCAATGTTGCGAGTCTGGGATTTGTTTTGTTGAATGTTGAGAGTGGATGGTTTTGTTTGCTCACTTCCTGCCTTATAGTATCCTAAGAAATGTATTGCAATATTGTATATGGCAATGTTGTATACACTTGAGATCTTGGTATAAATATGGTGGCAACTTTCTGTCTAAATGTTGCAAAAGAAGGAAGGTCCAAGGCACTCTCAGAATTTTCCTCCAACACCATAGTTCAAAAAGCGTTCATCTTCCTTCGCTCAGCCTTCCATATGGTCCTGCTCTCGCATCCATAGGTTGCTATGAGGAATACCATTGCTTTAACTATGGGGATCTTTGTTGCCAGTGTGATGTCCCCACTCTTGACTATTTGATCAAGATTCGTCCGTGCTCTCCTCCCAAGAAGGAAATGTCTTCTGATTTCCTGGCTGAGGTCTGCGTCTGCAGTCATCTTCACGCCTAGAAATACAAAGTGTGTTGTTGCCTCCATGTTTTCTCCCTCTATTTGCCTGTTATCCATCAGTTTAGTTGCTATCATCTTGGTTTCTTTGATGTTTAGCTGCAACCCAACTTTTGCCCTTTCTTTTTTCACCCTGGTTAGAAGGCTCCTCAGCTCCTTCCGCTTTTGGGCATCAAAGTGATATCATCTGCATATCTAAGGTTGTTCATGTTTCGTCCAGCCATTTAAACTCCAGACTTGGATCCCTCAAGCTCCGCACGTTGCATGATGTGTTCTGCATACAAGTTGAATAGGGAGGATGAAAGTATACAACCTTGTCGTATGCCTTTCCCAATCTTTCTTCTTTCACCTTGGTTAGAAGGCTCCTCAACTCCTTCTGCTTTTGGCCATCAAAGTGGTATCATCTGCATATCAAAGGTTGTTCATGTTTCGTCCAGCCATTTAAACTCCAGACTTGGATTCCTCAAGCCCTGCACATCGCATGTTGTGTTCTGCATACAAGTTGAATAGGGAAGATGAGAGTATACAACCTTGCCGTATGCCTTTCCCAATCTTTCTTCTTTCACCTTGGTTATAAGGCTCCTCAACTCCTTCTGCTTTTGGCCATCAAAGTGGTATCATCTGCATATCGAAGGTTGTTCATGTTTCATCCAGCCATTTTAACTCCAGACTTGGATTCCTCAAGCTCCGCACGTCGCATGTTGTGTTCTGCATACAAGTTGAATAGGGAGGATGAAAGTATACAACCTTGTCGTATGCCTTTCCCAATCTTTCTTCTTTCACCTTGGTTAGAAGGCTCCTCAACTCCTTCTGCTTTTGGCCATCAAAGTGGTATCATCTGCATATCAAAGGTTGTTCATGTTTCGTCCAGCCATTTAAACTCCAGACTTGGATTCCTCAAGCCCTACACATCGCATGTTGTGTTCTGCATACAAGTTGAATAGGGAGGATGAGAGTATACAACCTTGCCGTATGCCTTTCCCAATCTTTCTTCTTTCACCTTGGCTAGAAGGCTCCTCAGCCCCTTCCGCTTTTGGCCATCAAAGTGGTATCATCTGCATATCTAAGGTTGTTCATGTTTCTTCCAGCCATTTTAACTCCAGCCTTGGATTCCTCAAGCCCTGCACGTTTCATGATGTGTTTTGCATACAAGTTGAATAGGGAGGGTGAGAGTATACAACCCTGCCATATGCCTTTCCCAATCTTGAACCAGTCTGTTGTTCCATGGTCAGTTCTTACTGTTGCTACTTGGTCCTTATACAGATTCCTCAGGAGATGGGCAAGGTGGCTTGGTATCCCCACACCACCAAGAACTTGCCACCATTTATTATGACCCACACAGTCAAAGGCTTTAGAACAGTCAATAAATAGAAAGAGATGTTTTTCTGAAACTCCCTGCCTTTCTCCATTATCTACCAGATGTTGGCAATGTGGCCTCTCATCTCGCTGCCTTTTCTAAACCCAGCTTGTACATCTGGCAACTCTCGCTCCATGTCTTGTTGTAGTCTACCTTGTAGGATCTTGAACATTATCTTACTGGCATGTTAAATAAGTGCCACTGTACAAAAGTTTGAGCATTCTTTGGCATTTCCCTTTTTTCATATGGGGATATAAGTTGATTTTTTCCAATCTGATGGCCATTCTTGTGTTTTCCATATTTGCTGGCATATGGCATGCATCACCTTGACAGCATCCTCTTCCAAGATTTTAAACAGTTTAATTGGGATCCCATTGTCTCCTGCTGCCTTGTGATTAGCAATGCTTCTTAAGGCCCATTCAACCTCATTCCTCAGGATGTCTGGTTCTAATTCACTCACCACACTGTCAAAGCTATCCTACACTGCCATATAATCCAGTTCAAAGCAGATAACTTGGATTCAGAAACCAGATTACATGTCAGTGTAGATGGGGCCACACTGTCTTGATGACAGTGTGGCCTCATCTACACTGCCATATAATCCGGTTTCTGAATCCGGATTTTTCTGCTTTTGAACTGCTTTGGAGCTTCTTAACTGTCTTTACATCTTGCCTGCCTTTCCTTTCAGGTATGATGTATCCCAGGAGTCCTTTCTAAATCCAGATTGATAGACCCAGTTGGCTCTTCTTAACAAAAGCCTAAGGAGAACAAACAGGTGTTTTGTTGCAAGGGAACAACCATGAATGTGGGCGGTTTTGTGGAAACCTTCCACCTGACGGAAAGAACATTTTCTTGTGGGAAAGAACATTTGAGCCATATAAGACTATGGGAGGACAAAGCATCCACTATCACCGTGCTTCACTAGTGTTTTTCCAAGTGTTCCCTTTTTTCCTACTAGTACTCTGTAATAGAACATTCCTACAGCATGTTTTATTACAGAATACTTACCCTCTATTTCCCCAGTTTTGCCAGTATTTCAAAATTAACGCTTGAAGTAAATTCTGAGTTTGATCTCTCTCTTTCTCTCTCTTTTTGAGGCACACGAGAACAGCAATTTCATTTTATAAAGATTTCTTTATTTATTTACTATATCTATAACCTGTTCTTCTCACCCCGAAGGGGACTCAGAGCAATCTATAGATGGCAAAACTTCAATGCTGCATCATACACATAACAATAATTATAACATCAAATTATAAAGCAATTAAAACATATAAATAGTTAAAAAATATAAATACAATAATGCAGACTAAAAACATACATAGTGAGTCTTGATTTTCCATACCTTGATTTTCCCACAGTCCTTATTTAAACTGCTAAATTGAGGTTGAATAAATCATGTTGGGAATTCAAAATAAACACATGTTACTACTGGTTAAAGACTTATGCAGCAGCTCTGCCTTTTATTTTTTAGTGGGTTAAATTCGTTAAAAATGCTAATGATATTCTGTTTTAATTTTTGTATACAGTATTTGAAAATCGTATTAAAGCTATGTTGAGTCTCCTTTGTGGAGGGAAAAAGCAGAATGTAAATACACATAATGATGATGATGATGGTGGTGGTGGTGATGATGATGATGCCTTGGCAGATTATCTGAAAGGCAGTCAAGAACCAAGATTGATGGATGTCAATAGTAGAAAACTGCTTATAGTGCAAAAGACAAAGAGGGAATACCATAAAAATTCAATGCGGAGAAAAAGAGAAAACTGCCTAAAGAAGGGCTCTCCATGGACAGTTCCTGGGAAAAATTGACAAGGAAAAAGCATGGATGTGGCACACAAATGGAACTTGGGAAAAGGAGACGGCGGGTCTTATTTGTGCAGCCCAAGAACAAGCCATTAGAAGCAATGCCGTCGGAATTGATAAATCGATGTGTAGACTCTGCAAGGAAGCAGACGAAGCGATGGATCACGTTCTCAGCTATTGCAAGCAGATCGCACAGACAGACTATTATGTGTTGCTCAGATGGTCCATTGAAACTTGATGTAATTTTTGTCTGTGACAAAGAACTGGTGGGATCACAAGCCAGAAAAAATTACAGAAAAGGAACACGTCAAACGACTTTGGGACTTCTGAATTCAGACTGACAGAATTTTGGAGTACTCCTAACCTTACGATCGTGGAAAGAATGGATTGTTGACGTTGCAATCCCAGGTATCAGCAGAATTGATGAGAAGCAACTGGAAAAGCTGACACGATATGAGGATTTAAAAACTGAACTGCAAAGACTCTGGCACAAGCCAGTCAAGGTGGTCCCAGTGGTGATCGGCACACTGGGTGCAGTGCCTAAAGACCTTGGTCTGCACTTAAAAACAATCGGCGTTGACAAAATTACCATCTATCAGCTGCAAAAGGCCACCCTACTTGGATCTGTACACATTATTTGCCGATACATCACACAGTCTTAGACACTTGGGAAGTGTCCGACGTGTGATCCAATACGACAGCCAGCAGAATGACCTTGTTTGCTGTGGACTCATCTTGTTGTGTTTCAAATAATAATAATAATAATCAAAATACTGTATGTATTTTATTCTGATGTAATTTTTGTTGTCTGCACTTTGTATTTTATTTTGCTGTATTGTTTGCCGTGTACTAATCTTGTTGTGTTTTAAATAATAATAATAATAATAATAGATTGTCGAAGGCTTTCATGGCCGGAATCACTGGGTTGTTGTTGGTTTTTCCGGGCTATATGGCCATGTTCTAGAGGCATTTTCTCCAGACGTTTTGCCTGCATCTATGGCAAGCATCCTCAGAGGTAGTGAGACCTCACTACCTCTGAGGATGCTTGCCATAGATGCAGGTGAAACGTCAGGAGAAAATGCCGCTAGAACATGGCCATATAGCCCGTAAAAACCTACAACAACCCAATAATAATAGAATTACGTGGAGGAAAATCCCAGGTGGAAACTAATAATAATAATAATAATAATAATAATAATAATAATAATAATAATGCATTTGTTAGCCACCTCTCCTTGAGGTTCGACATCAACTGAAATGTGATGTGTGTAGCATAACATTAAGGATCATTTAATGCTTTACCGAGGACAAAAATAATGTTTTTTTACTGTTTCAGATTTTGGAATATCTAATCATTCAGCTTCAGAATGGAGAAAAGGACAAGGCAGAAGGGTTTTCAACACTGCAAGGGACGCTGGTGGTTTTTCTGGACGTTGAAGATTCTCTTCAGCAAATGGATCAGTCCTATGGTGTAATTGTCAGTGAGTGTAATATAAATTGCATCTTAAAATGGGCTTCATATTTTACACTCCCTTAATGCCTAATGATTCGAAGCAACTTTCCTTTTCAACCACTATTTTTCAGTTCAGCAATGGTTAGGGCAGACACTTATGCATGCCTCTGCAACAGCAAGGGAAGTGTATCTTCGACACATGGAGAGGATATGCATTTGCATAATTTGGATGACCTCCGCAGAGAGCTGGACAGGGGGAGTGTGACCCTGCTGGTTCTCTTGGACATCTCAGCGGCTTTCGATACCATCGATCATGTTATAAATGATAAATATAATAAATAGTTTAAAAGATAAAATAGAACAAAAGTAAAAATAAACAAAGAAAAAAACTGGGGATAGATGAATAGAATAAATAAAAATACCATCGATCATGGTATCCTTCTGGGTCGTCTCTCCGGGATGGGCCTTGGGGGCACGGTTTTGTCGTGGCTCCAGTCCTTCCTGGAGGGACGAACTCAGATGGTGAAGCTGGGAGACGCCTGCTCTGACCCCTGGCCTTTGACCTGTGGGGTCCCGCAAGGCTCTATTTTGTCGCCCATGCTTTTTAACATCTACATGAAACCGCTGGGAGAGGTCATCCGGAGTTTTGGAGTTAGGTGCCATCTCTACGCAGATGACACACAACTCTACTACTCATTTCCACCTAATTCCAAGGAGGCCCCTCGAGTGCTGGACGAGTGCCTGGCCGCTGTGGCTATCTGGATGAGGAAGAACAAGCTGAAGATCAATCCCGACAAGACAGAGGTCCTCCTGGTCGATCGTAAACCGGATCGGGGTATAGGGTGGCAACCTGTGTTGGACGGGGTTACACTCCCCCTGAAGCCACAGGTCCGCAGTTTGGGTGTCCTCCTGGATTCTTCGCTTACACTTGAGGCTCAGGTGTCGGCGGTATCCGGGAGGGCCTTTGCGCAACTGAGACTTGTGCGCCAACTGCGACCATACCTCGTGAAGGCTGATCTGGCCGGGGTGGTCCACGCCTTGGTCACCTCTAGAATGGATTACTGCAATGCGCTCTACGTGGGGCTGCCCTTGAAGACGGCTCGGAAACTTCAATTGGTCCAGCGGGCAGCAGCCAGGATGCTAACTGGGAGCTCATTATCAAGAGAGGTCTACCCCTCTGTTTAGGGAGCTCCACTGGCTGCCATTTATTTTCCGAGCCCAATTCAAGGTGCAGGTGCTCACCTACAAAGCCCTGAACGGTTTGGGACCACCCTACCTGCGTGACCGCATCACTATCTACGAACCCACACGCTCGCTCCGGTCATCTGGAGAGGCCCTGCTCGTGATCCCACCTATGTCGCAAGTGCGCTTGGTGGGGACACGGGACAGGGCCTTTTCTGTGGCGGCCCCCCGACTTTGGAACGCCCTCCCAAAAGATCTCAGACAGGCCCCACTCTAGCCGTTTTCAGAAGGAATTTAAAAACTTGGCTGTTCCGGTGTGCCTTCCCAGACTAAGAATCCCCACCCCAAGTCCTACTAGCACCTTAGCATAACAAGTTGTTGCTGCACACCGCACTTTTAACCTTACGTGCCTCCTGCCATTTCAGCACTTTTAACCCTTGTACCCCAGTGCGCCGGCCGAACCAGTTTTTAATAATGTCTTGATGTCCTGCCATTGTCGTTATTTTTACTTTTGTTGATTTGCTTAGTTATTGTGGAGTTATGTTATTATATTGTGTTTTGTGGCCTTGGACTGTGTAAGCCGCATCGAGTCCTTCGGGAGATGCTAGCGGGGTACAAATAAAGTTAATAATAATAATAATAATAATAATAATTTTGTTTATGCTAACTCAGATGGGTCTAATTTTGTAAATACAGTATATTCTGGCGTATAAGACTACTTTTTAACCCAAGAAAATCTTCTCAAAAGTCAGGGGTCGTCTTATACGCGGGTGTAGTCTTATGCATGGGAGTCGTCATAACTCTACATTTTAACTGGAAAAGTTGGGGGTCGTCTTATACGCCCAGTCGTCTTATATGCCGGAATATACGGTAATTACTATAATTTCAATAGAAATGCAATGCATTCCATGATAAAGGGGGACAGTAACCCAGGTTGACCTATATGCATTCTGTTTAGTCTTCTGTTGACATTCTAACTGCTGATAGGCAACTGCAAGGCCCTTGGCTCTTTGTTTTTATGATTCTTTAAAATAGATTTGGACTAGGAAAAAAGCTAAAATGCTATAAGTGGAAGACTGAAAAATAGGACATAAAAGGTGGTGTGAAACAGAGAGTCATAGAACTGAACGCAAGTCTGCTATAAAGAAAAATCTTCTTCTTGTTTGCTCCCTGCAGTTTCAGCAAAGGGTGAATTTTGCCACCGACTCCTCACTGATCAGATACAGAGAGGTAAATATTTTCCATACATTTGATCATTTTGGCTGCCCTTCTAGAGAGGAAACAATCAGGCACATCTAATCACCTCTCAACAAAAGATTGCCCCAGGCACTGCCAGGCCATCAAATGCAAATCAAGGTGGTCAGTTGAAACATTCACACCTAGCTCCAACAGACAAGAGTTCTTTGTCCCACCCTGGTCATTCCACAGATATATAAACCCATTTTCCTAGTTCCAACAGACCTCACTACCTCTGAGGATGCTTGCCACAGGTGCAAGCGAAACGTCACGAGAAAATGCCTCTAGAACATGGCCATATAGCCTGAAAAAAACCTACAGCAACCCAGTGATTCCGGCCATGAAAGCCTTCGACAATCCATTGAACATTACATTTTTATTTATGTAGAGTAACCGTCCCCTGCCACGAGTTGCTGTGACCCAGTCTGTTTTGTGTGTGTATATATGTGTGTGTATATTTGTGTATATGTGTATATATGTATATGTGTGTATATATGTGTGTGTGGTTTTGCACATGCGTTGTAATGTAATTTCCGTTTTTTGGCCTTTTAAGTCTCTTCTTCTGTGATTTTCAGTGTTTTTATGAGTGACGGTCACTTGTTGGCATGATAGGTGTATTGTGTCCAAATTTGGTGTCAATTCGTCCAGTAGTTTTTGAGTTATGTTCATCCCACAAACTAACATTACATTTTTATTTATATAGATAGATGTGGAAGGGGCCAAAGGACCCCCTTCCACACAGTCATATAACCCAGAATATCACAGCAGAAAATCCCACAATATCTGCTTTGAACTGGGTTATCTGAGTCCACATTGCCATATATTCTAGTTCAAAGCAGAAAATGCTGGACTTTATTCAGCAGTGTGGAAGGGGCTTGATAACCTGGGATAATCAGTTAATCTGGGATTAGATCTTGGGATAAAGGGGCAGTTTAGAAGGGCCTTAATGCCCACTTTTTTGTAACTGCTCCCTTATAAAATGTGGATGGTGAAGTGCAATATCAGATGATCCTCAAGTGATAAGATGGTTTTCTTAAGAAAAGACTCATGTGAACTGCTTATAGCTGCTTACGTCTTTCTTCAGAGAAAAAGAACAGGCTTCCTGTGAATGGTATCTTTATCCACTGGTGCCTCAAATGCCTAAAGGCAGAGCCCAGTAAACTTCGTGTCTCCATTGGCAGTGCACATCCTCCAACTCAAAAGACTGTATTCCAACTTGTCCTCATTCCCAGGGCAGGGCTTTCTTTGTCTTATATTATTTTGCCTGATGTCGGTACTTTTCCATCCTACAGAAATGGAAGGCTTGCTGCCCTTATGCCAGAGGAAGGCTGTGAGCGGAAGGGGGTGTCCTCATGAATCTCTACACACCATGCCTTTTCAGCTCTCTTTTAAGGTTAGCCTCTCTGGTGGCTTTGGCCCCTCTCACTAACCAAACTCAGCACAAAGTGTCTTGCCGGGATATTTTGTACATTCCATAGGAACAAGCAGAAAATATACAGGTTCTTGTGGGTTTTTCCGGGCTATAGAGCCATGTTCTAGAGGCATTTCTCCTGACGTTTCGCCTGCATCTATGGCAAGCATCCTCAGAGGTAGTGAGGTCTGTTGGAATTAGGACAATGGGTTTATATATCTGTGGAATGTCTGGGGTGGGGCAAAGAGCTTTTCTCTGCTGGAGCTAGGTGTGAATGTTTCAATTGACCACCCAGGCTCAGCCAGGCTTTCAAATGCTAATGAAGGTGGTCAGTTGAAACCAGGGGCGGCTCATCCATTACGCGAAGTAAGCGGTCGCAGAACACTTTTGTTGCCAGGGGCGCAGAGGCCCGATGAGGACTCAGAGTGGCTTCCATGAGGCCAAGCCCAGACAACAAATTACACCAGTGTAAAACCGAAAACTCAAACCGAAAATGCCAGGGGTGCTTTGAATGCAATTTTCCTGCTTCTTGGTGGGGGGTTGGACTGGATGCAGGGGCGGCTCGTCCATTACGCGAAGTAAGCGGTCGCAGAACACTTTTTTTGCCAGGGGAGCAGAGGCGCCTCTGTAAATGCCCCTCGACCGCCACTTGAGGAGCGCCCCCTCAGCTCACAACAGCCCTAGCAGTTCGGGGGGAGCCTCAGCTTTCTTGCCTCGCTGCCGGGCGATCCTCTTCCCAAAGGGGCCGGGCCATTGAGCCTCGCCTAGCCCTTCTCGTTCCTGCTCCACCCGGCTACCGGGTGCACGAGCAGAGCCGGCGCTCAATCGTTCTCCGCGTTCGATCCCTTCCCCATGACTGCCTCCCTTTCCTGATCCCCCGGCACTCCACCCGCCTCCTCTCCTCTCCCCAATCCGAGGGTGGTCCAAGGGGCGGAGCCGCCACATCTGGCCCGCTTTGGGTCCGGAGGCGTGTCTGAAGACCCCAGCGTGCGCACCAAAAGTCGCCTCTTCTCCTGACTTTCTCTTCAGCCATTGGGACCAAAGAGAGAGAGAGAGAGAGAGCCCCTCCGGCTGGAGGTATCTCCCACCTCCGCTCCCTCCTTTGTTTTTGCGCCTACCTTCAGGAAAGGTGGGCATCTCCACCTCTCTCTCTCTCTCTCTCTCTTGGTCCCAATGGCTGAGGAGAAAGTCAGGAGAAGAGGTGACTTTTGATGCACACGCCGGGGTCTTCAGGCACGCCTCCAGACCCAAAGCGGGCCAGGCAAGGGAGCAAGTGCGGCAAGTGTAGTTACTGGGATGTATAGTTCACCTACAATCAAAGAGCATTCTGAACTCCACCAATGATGGGATTGAACCAGATATGGCATACAGAACTCCCACAACAAACAGAATATATATATCGATGATTGGTTGGGGGTGTGCCAAAATACTGTTTGCTTACCGCTGAAAATTACCTAGGGCCGCCTCTGGTCAGTTGAAACATTCACACCTAGCTCCAGCAGAGAAGAGCTCTTTGCCCCACCCCAGCCATTCCACAGATATATAAACCCATTGTCCTAATTCCAACAGACCTCACTACCTCTGAGGATGCTTGCCATAGATGTAGGCGAAACGTCAGGAGAAATGCCTCTAGAACATGGCTCTATAGCCCAGAAAAACCCACAAGAACCTAGTGATTCCAGCCATGAAAGCCTTCGACAATACAGAAAACATACACTTGGGATGCACCAGGGCCAGCTTTGTGAACAGTTTATGATGACACAGGGCTTCCTATAGTTTGCTAACCTTGGATATCACAGGAATCCTCACATCAAGACCTTTAAGATCTGGCCTATACCATTTTTAGTGAAGCTGTGTGTGTCTGATAAGGAAGACTTTGACAACAACAACAAAAAATGGTTCTCTCATTATTTCCTGTTTTTGTAACTGTTTTGATGATAGGGCAATAATCATGAAACTAGAGAAATCAAAGTTAAAAATGTACCCCCTCTGTATTTAAAAATGAGCTTCCACTAAGAGTCCGTTTTGTCTGGAACATTTGTGGTTAGCACCTAAAAAAATGTGCAATCAACAACTTTCACAAGACAGTTCAGGCAGAAGGCTAAAAAGTTGACAAAGTGTCTATTGCCATACATGGAGGAATGAGCTATTTGGGTCTTTTACTTTCTATTGTCAAGAAATCATGTGATTTACAAGGAGTCAGTTAGTCAATGTGCTAAATAAGAAATTAAGCCTAGGTGGTAGTTTGTAAGTAGATTTGCTGCAGTGCTAAAGAGTCTATATCAGGGGTCCTCAAACTTTTTAAACAGAGGGCCAGGTCACAGTCCCTCAAACTGTTGGAGGGCCAGATTATAATTTGAAAAAAACACGAATGAACACTGCACATATCTTATTTATAGTGCAAAACACTTAAAAACAATACAATAATTAAAATGAAGAATAATTTTAACAAATATAAAGTTATTAGTATTTCAGTGGGAAGTGTGGGCCTGCCTTTTGGCTGATGAGATAGGATTATTGTTGTTGTGTGCTTTCCAGTCGTTTCAGACGTAGGTTGACCCTGAGCGAGGGCCGGGTAAATTACCTTGGAGGGCCGTATCTGGCCCCTGGGCCTTAGTTTGAGGACCCCTGGTCTATATAATGTGAGTCTGAAGAGACACTGCGTGCAGCAGCCTCTTAAAAGTACCAAGACCTGTGTGTTTGGTATGGCTGGCCCGTCTCATCATGATAATGACGAAAATAAACCTTGCTCTTGTTCTTCTCCTGAGACTGGGTGTTTGTCTTTTTGCCTTCTGTGACTGGGCCCAATGCAGTGGTCCTGAATTAGGGGTCCCTAACATATTGTCAATGTTTGAATTTATTGGTCTCCTGTAATAATCTAAATTATATTATTAGGGTATGCAATATAGTTTTTAGTTAAACATTTTGGAAGGGGGGCTTTAATAAGGTGCATTTTGTGGGGGGTTTTCAGATCTGTGAAAAATCCAGCATTCTGGAAGAGGATTGTTTAGCCATGAAGCAGTTCATCCATAGGATCAGCCTTATACACACAATGGTAAGATCCTTCTTCTGGACCATGAAGCTTTCACGGGATCAATTGGCTACAAACAGAGGCCCTAAAGGAGTGCTAATTTCAGGCATGCTGGAAGGCAATTTTAAAAAGGGAAAGGTTTCCTCAACCTCAATTCGCCCTCCAGGAAAAGTGTTCTTTTAGGTCAGTGGTTCCCAACCTGTTGTCCATGGACCACCAGTGGTCCCCAAGAACAAAAATATGGTCCACAACCTCACCCATTACTACACTGTTGCTTCGAAACCACACGGCAACGAAAGTGACTGGTCTCGCAAAACTCTCCTATAGTGCCGAGGCAACGGGGATGTCGGGAGGGGAGAGACTGACTATCCATGAAAGATTATTATGACTACATCAGCTAGATTATTGAATATGGTTTTCTGTGGGTGAGCAGATGGTGACTACTGGATGGCGTATGTTCTGTATCAGAAACTACATCTGATGTGGTTGATCCAATGCAATTTTCTGAATCAGCACCCCAAATAACCGAACCGAATCTAAAGTTGACCAAAAACTGATTTGTAAGCTTTTTGGTACTAATGTTGGAGAGTGGTCCCTGGTCAAAAAAAGGTTGGGAACCACTGTTTTAGGTGTTTTAATGGCTATTGGCTGCCTTGGTTTAATAACTTTACACTTACACATCTTTAGCAACCTTTCGACAGAATGAGAAATACATCTATTTATTTATTTATTGTATTTTTACCCTGCTCAGTCTCACTCGAAGGGGACTCAGAGCAGCTTCCAAATTGGCAATAATTCAATGCCATATACACATAACATATAAATGCAATATACACATACATTAATAAAATTAATACAAAATTTAAAAAGTCATCAATACATTAAATACATTAAATCAACTATTAAAACCACACAAAATCCGAGTCATAATCCAGGAGCCATTTGTGTTATAATTACTTCATAACCACCTATGGCATTGACTACTCTCTGAAAGCTTGGTTCCAAAGCCAGGTTTTTAGTTTCTTTTTAATTGTCAGGAGAGAAGGAGCTGGTCTGATTTCACTGGGAAGGAAGTTCCATATCTAATAATATAATATAATATAATATAATATATTGTATATACATATCATATTTATAATATTATAATGTAATGCTATATAATACTATTACTACTAATATGATATTATAATTACATGTACTATTACTAATAATATTACAATATAATAGTATAGTACAATATAGTAATATATAATACTGATATTGTACTATGCTAATAATATAATATATTGTATGTATGTATATCTTGTAAGCTGCTCTGAGTCCCCTTTGGGGTGAGAAGGGTGGCATATAAATGCCGTAAATAAATAAATAAATAAATATCTGAGGGGCCACCACTGAGAAGGCCCTGTCCCTCGTCCCCACCAGCCACACCTACGAAGGAGGTGGAACAGAGAGCAGAGCCTTCCCAGAAAATCTTAGCTCCAAGATAGTTCATAGAGAACTGGTGCTACATATATATTCTGCTTCGGAATGGGCAGATGACAAAATACACCAGATTTAAGCTATGATTGCAGGTTTGGAAGTGATTCCAGGACTTTTCAAGGGTTCATTTGGTGCTGAACACTCACACATGTAAATGCATATGCTTTATTAATGGAAATTATGTAGTAGATGATACACAGCAAAGAAGCATTCCAAACCTTTCATAAATAGGGCCCAACATCCCCTCACAATCAATGATAGATTACTGGATTGCTGTGAGTTTCCTGGGCTGTATGGCCATATTCCAGAAGCATTCTCTCCTGACGTTTCACCCACATCTATGGCAGGCATCCTCAGAGGTTGAGAGATTTGTTGGAAACTAAGCAAGTGAGATATATATATCTGTAGAATGTCCAGGATAGGAGAAAGAACTCTTGTCTGCTTGAGGCAAGTGTGAATGTTGCAATTAGCCACCTTGATTAGCATTAAATAGCTTTGTAGCTCCAAAGCCTGGCTGCTTCCTGCCGGGGGCAGACCATACAGCCTGGAAAACTCACAGCAACCCAGTGATTCTGGTCATGAAAGCCTTCAACAACACAATGATAGATTTACATATGCTTTCTTGTAATTTCCAGTCTATTTGACTATCTGTTGCTCTGCTCTGTAGATCAATTTTCATTTTTGTGTAAAAGTGAATGGACGGATTTCTGCTGAGACCTATAGGTAAGTAAATACTTCTTCCAGAAAAGCAGGATGGTGGATGAATGGATAGATAGGTAGATGAATGGATAGGTAGATAAGTGTGTTTCCAAGTTAATATTTTATAATTTGCTTGTGCTAATGTAGGAAGCAGAGACCACAAAAGCTCTGCAACATCCAAGCATATCCTTGCTGAATGTGTACTTTAGATCATATGCTATCTAGTGTCTAGGACTGTGTGATGTATCGGTTAATAATGTGTGCAGATCCCAGTAAGGTGGCCTTCTGCAGCTAGCAGATGGTAATTTTGTCAGCACCGATTGGGTTTAAGTGCAGGCCAAGGTCTTTAGGCACTGCACCCAGTGGGCCGATCACCACTGGGACCACTTTGACTTGTGCCAAAGTCTTTGCAGTTCGATCTTTAAATCCTCATTTATTATTATTATTATTATTATTACTATTATTATTATTACTATTAGAAACACAGCAAGATGAGTCCACAGAAGACACTCTGCTGGCTGTTATAGTGGATCACACGTCGGACACTTTATTATTATTATTATTATTATTATTATTATTATTATTATTATTATTATTATTATTAGCTGTACCCGCCACACGTTGCCGTGGCCAACCTTCCCACCCTCTTTCTCTCCTTCCTTTCCTCTTTTTCTTTCCCTTCCTATTTATCT